ATTTTTTATTTTTTATTTTTTATTTTTTATTTTTTATTTTTTATTTTTTATTTTTTATTTTTTATTTTTTATTTTTTTGAGAGTTCTGCACTTACACCAAGTTACAAGCAGTTCTTTAGAAGGTTTTCCCCCTCGTTTTAGCTCCTTCTGGCATTCCCAAAGCCCAGGAAGGTGCTAAAAGCTCTGGGATGCCCCAGCTCCCCCTTGCCGGGGGTCAGAGCCAGGGCTCGTGCGGTAGAAGGCGGGATCTGGGATTGCGGCGGGGCCGTGAGCGCGGGGCGCTGGCCACCAAGTGCCAAGCAGTGYGTTTCCACGGGGCATGGACGGTCCATCCCGGTGGGTCTCTCCCTCCTATCTCCCCATGGAGGCACATGGCGCTGTCGCATGCGTCCCCTTCGTGTCGCATCCCATCCGTGTCGCGTCCCCTCCGCATCGCGTCCCCTCGGCGCGCCCTGGAGCCCCGCTCTCTCCCGCAGCACCATCTGGTACGAGCTGCACGCGCGCGAGTGGCCCTTCAAGACGCAGCCGGCCGAGGCCATCATCTGGCAGGTGGGACGGGGCATGAAGCCCAACCTCAGCCAGATCGGCATGGGCAAGGAGATCTCGGTAGGTGGCCCGCAGCGGGTGCAAGGGGGACGGTGCGTGGATGTGGCGCCAGCGCACGCCTCGCTCAGCCCGCTGCTTCCCGTGGGGATGGAGCCCTGGGTTTCTGTGCGCCGCGGGGACGGTTTTGGTGCTGGCCGCAGGTTCTGAGGCACTGTCGCCCTTGCAGGACATTCTGCTCTTCTGCTGGGCCTACGAGCAGGAGGAGCGGCCCTCCTTCACCAAGCTCATGGACATGCTGGAGAAGCTGCCCAAGCGCAACCGCCGCCTCTCGCATCCCGGGCACTTCTGGAAGTCGGCAGAGTAAGCGGCCACCTCCTCTGTCCTTCCCGAGCCCCCGGACATGTCCCGTGCCCCAGGACATCACCGAGGTGTTGGGGCTGCAGGGGTGCGCGGAGGAGTGGGCAAGGACACACAGGGACCCGGGTTGTTGGGAAGCAGGGCGGGRAGGGGGTGCAAGGGGGTGAAGCAGAGCGGGAAGAGGCTCCCTGTGTCCCGCAGCGCATTCCCGGTGCTGGCGATGGGGCAATCCCTTGGGAGCCGCCCTCGCTGAGCGCGCTCCCCCTGTGCTTCCCCTGCAGGCTGTGACCGCAGGGCACGAGGGACCGTCCTTCCTCCCTGCTTCAGCTCTCCTCTTCCTCTCGCTGAAGAGCCGAGCACACTGCGGAGCTGGGGGCGCCGCCGCTGCCCCCGGCACGGGAGCGTCGCCCCGATCCCGTCCCGCGTGAGGCCGCGGAGGCCGCGCTGCCGCACGCTCCGGGGAGCAGCTCCCTCCGTGCCGCGGGAGCCACCGCAGGGATGCGCGTTATCCCGAGCCYGTCCCCGAGCAGAAGTGCTTCGAGCACACTGGGTCAGACCGTCACTGCCGGGGCCTGGCAGGACCGGCCGTCCCTAGCGGTTCCCACAGCCGAGACGCTTCCCTGCATCCCGACCGTCACGGATGTCCCCATCCCGACCATCGCGGGTGTCCCAATCCCGACCATCGCGGGTGTCCCCAGCTCGCGGCGCTCACCCCGCGGCCGAGGGACGAGTTTATGTCCCCAAGCCCCCGTCCTCCATGGCTGCCCCCTCCTCCCTGCAATCCCGTTTCGTCCCTGTCCTCCTTGTCCGCGCTCCCCTCTGGCTCCCTGGGATTTGAGACTGTGACGCCCTGGACTCTTTGTCCCCAGCTCTGTCTGAGCCCTGAGCACCAGGGAATTGGGGCCTCGACTTCCCAGCAGGCGCCCTGGGGACACAAGGTAGCTGCACACTGGATTTAAGCTCAAACACCCAAAATTGGTGACTCTGGGCTCGGCCGAGGCCGCTCCGGAGCTCGGGCCCGTGGCCACCGGGCTCCTYGGCACCACAAAGGAGGCTCTTTGCGGAGGTGCTGCTGGCAGAGCGCGTCCGGTCCCCTCCTTTGCACCCGTTATTTATTCCTATTTATTTCTATTTATTTATTTCTTCCTTTGCCAATGGCGAGTCTTAAGGGAAGCTTCGTCCGCTGCAAAAGCCTCTTRGGTTTCCGCTCCCTGTAAAGTACGCTGTTACATTTTCTTGTACATAAGGTATATATAAATATATATACATATCTCTATATGTATGTATATAGATATATACATATATAACAAGCTCCGAACACTGTACAGTATCCAACTGGACGCGATGGCCTGCTTTGTTTTCTCCGTGTTAGTTCCGACCGCTGCCGAATGAGCTACTTTCCGTTCCCGGTTTCCTCTTCTCCCTTTTCTTTTTATAAATATATACATAAATATATATATATATATATATTTTGTGGTGGTTGTTGCAAAATTCTTGTCGCTGGAGAAGAACAGATGATTCTGGTGCAAAAAAAAAAAATATATATCCAACAGAAAAAAACAAACCAAGCAAAACACAACACACAGAAACACACACACACCCCGAGACAGGCACGATGGCTCTCCCCCATGTAAATTTGTACAGTAACATTTATAACGTTTTCTACACTTTAAGAAAGTATTTATAATTTCCGCTGTCTGACTGAGTGCGACGCGCTGTGCCCCGCCGACACGGCTAGCCGTTCCTCCCCGGGGGGGTTTCCTTTCGCTCCGTCCTCCTCCCTTCCCCTTTTTCTTTCTCTTCTCGTGTGCAGTGTTTGGTGAGGTGACGGTGTATGAATTATTTATGCCAATAAAAACCTTTGCAAACGATTGCCCCCTGGGCTTGTGCTGCTCTGCTTCTCCCGGGGATGGGGGGACGCTGGGACCCACTCCGGCTCTTCTGCCTCCGGATGCAGCTCCGGGCTGGGCRGGGTGATGAGGAGCCCGGGGACTGTCCCATCCCGAGCCCTGGTGCCCGCGCAGAGCTGGCTCCGCTGGCTGACGTCCAGGAGAGCAGAGCGCCAGACAGCGGCTAACGAGGCACCGATTAATTAGCCTCGTGTGTTGGGGCCAAGGTTGTGAGTACGGGGCTCAGGGGGGCACAGCTGCTCCTGCTTTGCAGGGGAGACCTGGCCCATTAGCAGGATCAGCCGAGGTCTCCTGTTCCCCAGCCCACCTCCGCCTATGGCTCTGGAATGGACTCCATGCGCTGGCCTGTGGTGCCCACGTGCCCCTTGCTCAGCTGTCCCTCACGTCTATTTTTATGCTGCCCCTTTTTTAGGCAGGCCCTTGAAACTAGAGCTGGGCCGTGGTGCCCCAGGGTACTCAGCCAATGTCCCTAATGGTGGCACCCTTGGGGACATGGGGGACCCTGTCCTCTGTGCAACGAGATGCRCCACGAGCCGGGCGTAGGGGTGATGGTTTCTATGGCCCAGCTGCTATTGCTTCCCGCTTTGGTGCCTGGCATGTCACGACGGGGCCAGTCTCAGCCCCCAGCACCCGCACCCCATGAGCAGGGAGAACCCAACCCTCCCCCTGAGCACGCGCAGCTCCRTGGGGAGCCAGGACACAAGCAGCGGGCAGGATGGGCAAGCGGGAGCGCCGGAGCAGATGCCGCCCTGGGGCCGGCCGGCATCGCGAGGCCGGGACAGGAGCCCKGCACAGCCCTGCGCTCCACACGGGACGGCTCTGCGGTGACGGCCGGTGSCACTTGAAGGGCTCCAGTGTGAGAGCAGCCCCGGAGCCGCCGCTCAGGGCAACCCAGTGCCCCCCAAAGCCCCCAAAGCCCYGCGCCGCAGAGCTCAAGGCTGCCAGGAGCCGCTTGCACCAAGMCCTCCCGCCCGGGCCAGCGTGTCCCCAGGGCACACGGGCTCCCGGCCGCTCCYGGCACGGGGGACAGCACGGGGGCAAGCGGAGCATCCCTGCCGCTCCCGGCACYCCGCGCTGCCATTGCCTCCCTCGGTCCCGGCGGGATTAGAGCGGTGCCGCGGGCGGCACAGTAGCAACTTGGGTTTCACGCTATTTTGGGGGCTGCAAATCCACAGGGGGAGAGCGGCGGGCTGGGGAGCAGGAGGAGGAGGAGGACGAGGAGGACGAGGAGGAAGAGGAGAGGCRAACACAGGGCTTGCAACAAGGAGCTGGGGCCACATCATCGTGTGTGGGCAGGGGAGGTTGTGTCTCCATAGCCGGGCTCTGCATCCATAAGGTGCAGCTGGAACCAGAGCCCCTGCTYGCTGTCCTGCTGGGCTCTGTGTGCAGGATGCGCTCGCCTTTAAACTTCTCGAAAGGGAATTAGAAAGCCACGAGGTGCTTTGCTTGCTTGTTGGCCTCTGAGCAAGAGAGTCCCCTAGTGCAAAGCTAGCACTTAGAGCTCTGGGTTAGTGCAAAGGGCCTGCCCTTGGGTGCTGGTGCCAGAGGGGACGCAAGACCCTGGAGAACTCGGATGGAGAGGCCCTGGTTCAGGGAGCACCTCGGCTCCCTCGCGGGGTGTGTGTGAGCTCGGCCGGACGCACAGGAATGAGCAGCAAGCGCCCGGCTCCGCTATGCTTGGCAGTGAGAAAAATCAATGCAAGTGCTTTGAGGCACCGGGAAAGGGCCCTTATCTCCCGATGGAGCCAGGGAGATAAAGCCCAAGGGAAACGTCGCGGTCRCTGCACGAAGGACGAGCGAGCTCTGGGTGACCCTAGCTCCAAACGTGGGYGCTGCGCTTAGCAAGGAGCAGAAGGACATTCTGCCTCAGAGGCTGTTCATAATGAAGCGGCTCTGCCGCAGCCCCGAGGCCGATGTGAGGGTCGCTGGTGGGGGACACGGGGCCGGCACCTGGAGGGCACGGCCGGGAGGAGGAGCAGGGCCTGGGAACAGCAAAGCTGCGAGACGGGCTCGGCCCGAGGGGTGGCCGCGCGCCAGCCCGGCAGGGACACGGGCACCGCGGGAGGACGCGGATCGCCGGCCACCTGCGTGCGGGAAACCACCAGGACGGCCCCTCGCCGTCCCTGCCGGGCTTCCCAGGGACAAACCCTGGGATCTGCCGCCGTCTCCTGCCGCTGCCCTCCGGAGAGCCCTGCTGCTCCGAGATGTCCCCGCCGGGCCGGGGCTTTGGTCCTGTCCCTTTTTGGGCTGCGATCCCRCGGCCCGGCGGGAGGGAGGGAGGGGAGGAGGGAGGAGCGGTCCCTGCGGTGCCCGCGGCCAAGCGGCATCTGCAGCGGGGGCGAGCGGCCGCTCGGGCGCAGGGCCGGCCCCGGGAGCCCGTGGCCCCGGGAGCCCATCCTGCTCCGGAAACACGGACACAGGTAAGGCCGGGCGTAGGGCGGGGGCGGCGAAGCTGCGGGAGGTACCAGGGGGATGGGGCTCGTCCTGCCCTGGGAGGCTCCTGGCTCCCCGACCTCGCCGGGTGGCCCAGGTGGAGCTGGCGTCCTCGCCCCCGTCCTGGCTGGCAAGTGTCCAGGGCRGGTGCTCGGCTCCAGACACGTCATTCCGGCTGCACGTGCTGAGGAGGGATGAGCTGCTCAGGTGCCAGGGACGGGAGGGGGGTCCTGTGCCCCGCACCATGGCCCTGCCTCCCTCCGGAGGCTCTGCCCATCCCTGGAGGCTCCAGCTCCGGGGCTGATCGCCAACCCTCTGGCTCCCGTGGGGCACTTGACGTCGGTGCTGAGGGCTGTGCCCTGGTTCCTGCCTTGGCTGCTTGGGCGTCACAGGACGAGTCATGGTGTCTGTTGTCACGCAGCAGCAGCCTCGCTGCTGGCGGGGTGGGGGACACGTCCTCCTACCCACTGCACGGGACGTCGGGGCTCGTATGGACAGCACCTCTGCTCGGGGCTTCCCGGGTTCACGGGCACGGGGAGATCCCCGAGGCGGCTGGCTGTGCTCAGATGGGGGTGTTGGGTGTGAAGGGCCAGCACAGGCGTCCTCCAGCTCCAGGACCTCCTGCCCTGGCTGCTCTCCCCTCTCGGGCAGGCCCAGAGGCGCC